CCCGTGTCCTTTTAGCCAGGCCACATTAGCCTTTGACGCTTCTGCGCTTTCTGGCGCATGATGTCCCACGCTTATTTTGTGTGGGTTCCGTCCTCACACCCAGAAATAGCCACTTCTTCAAGGAGCCTTGTGAACTTTTAAGATTGTTGTCCTTCTGTTGCTCAGTTAGCGATAGCTTAGACAACTTCCACAGGATGTGATTATCTGCTCAGGCTGTAAGTACTTCCACATTAGCTGTTTGGGGAGTTAAGCTGCCACTGTTAGTTTGCATTTGAAAATAATCTTGTTGCTCACGTTAGACTGCATCTGGAGGCAGTTTCTTCTTCGGCAATTTAAATGTTAATGTGCCCTCCACTCTAGTGCTAACAGGTTGTACAGCATAACTGTTTGCCTTGTAATCATTGGTCTATGGTTTAATCATATAAGATAAGCTTGACAAACAGCCAACAAAACCTGCCCAACTTGTACCAAACTGTCTTACCCTTGTCTTTCTAGTCTCCTTACTAAAGATCAGCGAAGATAAATTGTGTGATTAGCCATTTTCTGAGCAGACATTTTAATCACCTGAGAGCCAGTCAGCCATCTAGCTGCCTTGCCATAAATTATACAAAGCAGTATAGTTTGGTTCTTGTTGAGGATCTGTGATGAACCTATGTACAACAAAAGGTTAATGCTACTAGATAACAATTAGTACTATAGGTTTCCAGGAGTAAAATGTGTGTGGGTTTGGACAATAAGACAAAGGTTGGTAAAAGATGGAACTTAAGAGTGAAGTTCCAGGTGGTTTAGAATTTGCAGAAAAAAGTAGGTCCAGGGGCACAGATGAACATGGTGATTGGCAACAATAAGGAGAGATCTGGATGATTTATAGCAAAGTGGGGTGGGAGGTGACACTGTGCCAGAGGAACAGCTCTGCTGAGGGAAGCCTAGATAGACATTAAGCCCAGAAGTTTGTCCTTATTTGATTCTAGAAGAAATCATTTTAAGCTCCTGAGCTGGAAATGCTATTGGTATACTTGTGTGTTGGGTAGATTTGGTAAGACAGAGCTTGCACACAGGTGCTGGTTAGGGACACTGGATTTCTCTAGGTATGAGTTAATCCGGCAGTAGGAACAGATAACAGGAACTGAAACTAAGGTATTCCAAAGAAGCAATTAAAAAGGACTGTGGCACTGGAGATGGGAAGATTGGGAGCAGAGAAAGAGGGTAAGGTTGGGCCCTGGCCTGTGTGGCTCAGGTTCTGCTCAGGTTCAATTCCCAGTCAGGGCACATACCCAGGTTGGGGGATCAGTCTCTGGTCAGGGCGTGTATGGAAAGCAGCTGATTGATGTTTCTCTCTCACATCAGTGTGTCTGTGTTTCTCTCCCTCTCCCTTCCTCTCTCTCTAAAATCAGGTTTTTTTTAAAAAGAGGATATGGTTGGAACTGTGTTGTCCTATACAGTGCCTACTAACCACGTGTAATTATTTAATTTCAAATTAATTTAAACTAAATAACATTTAAAAATTTAATCCCTTAGTCATTTTAGCCAAATTGCAAGTGCTCAGTGGCCACATGTTGCTAGTAGCTACCATAATGGGCAGCACAGATACAGAACCATTTCCATTACCACAGAAAGTTCTCGCAGACCTGTTTCAGACTCGGGTATTGAAAACAAAACAGTGGTGCCAACTTAGAGAAATGAGGAGGCAGGGGTGGCGGCCTCTTTTGTGGAGGGAGATGAGATTTGATTTTAGACATGTGGAGTTTATGGCAGACCTTTAACTGAAGTTGTCCAGAGACAACAGAACATGCCTAAGTATAGTTCAGGTGTAGGCCTGAGCAGGGGGCCTGTAGGAGCCATGGTGGAAGCCAGGAGATTATATGGTGTTCACTAGCAGGCTGGAGGCCACTGAGGAGAGACCGCAGCCAGGGGAAAAATAGAACAGAGGGTTAGAAAGGAGAACTGGAGGAGTTTTTTCTTTGAGAGAGATGCGAAGGTCAGCACTGCCTGGACACCAGGTGGTAGGGTCTGTTAGGAGAAATCGCAGATTTGCCCAAGAGAGGTTTTTGCTGATAGGATGTTGGGAAATGGAATTGACTGGAGGAGATTGCGTGGGAAGGACATTAAACCCGTGCGCGCAGCTTGAAAAGAAGTGGAAGAAAGGGAGCGATGCGTTTGAACAGAATGGCAGAGCCAGTCCGAAGGGCTCGGTGCATGTCAGAAGGGAGAGGGCCGCTGGGCTGAGAGGAAAATGAGCTTTTCTTTCTGGTCACAGGGAAGGGAGGCTAAGGAGATGCCGAGATAGGTGTAGAGGAAGGCTGCATATGGAGTCCCCTGTGCCCACTGCAACAGTCCTGAGCTCTCCTTGACTATGATGTCATCAGGACCAGGCTTTCAACTCTAGGGTTTAGGTGTTGCCAGGAGTCTTGAAAGTGTGATTTTGAGTGTTAAATTGAAACAGTAAAGTATACGTGCTGTATATGTGCTAGAGCCTTTTAGATACTGTGAATTTAGGGAACTATTTTGTTTCTTTCATACTGTTTTTTGACCCAGCTTTTGGTTTTTCTGAAGTGTTAAGAGTACCCACATGTAAAACTAACCCCCATGTGGAGGTGAGACCATAAATGCTTCTCTTCAAGTTTTTTAGCTTAAGTAATGAACTTTTATTCCCCCAACCACTCTCATGGCTGTTGTTTTCTTTGGGGGAAGCAGTCTTCACCAACTAACGTGTGTGCCCACTAGAGGAATTCACCTTAGCGCATGTTCTGCTCTGAGGGAGATGCTGTTTGTAGCCTGCTCTGGTCACTCAGTTTGGGCACTCACTTCCCTTTCTAAAAATTCAAACTGTTCAGTGTTGGAGTTTCATAAGAGCAATCATGTTTCTTTTTTCTTTGCAGGTATGAATCTCCTGAAATAGCTCTAAATTGTGGAATAATGTTAAGAGAGTGCATCAGACATGAACCACTTGCAAAAATCATTTTGTGGTCAGAACAGTTTTATGATTTCTTCAGATATGTCGAAATGTCAACATTTGACATAGCTTCTGATGCATTTGCCACATTCAAGGTAACATATGTAAACACTATAGAATTCTGAATATGCGTGCAAGTCCGAAAAAAAACAGGAGTGCTGCTCTTCCTACCTCCTTTGTCTATACGCTGCTGCCCCCTAGTGGGAAGGAAGAAGACGGTTTATATACAGGGTGGGGCAAAAGTGGGTTTACATTGCAAGTACACGAAAGTTTATTCTTTTATATTATTTATTATTGTATTGTTTTTCCATGCAAACAACTGTAAACCTGCTTTTGCCTACCCTGTATATGTATGTGTGACTTAGGTATACAAATAGAGTCACGGCTTTAAAGGGTGGAAAAGTTAGATTCTAAATTTTTTGTCTTTCTAAAAGAGTAAACTTTTCTGTTAAATTACCATCAAGTATAGTAATAGATATAACAACCAGGTTTTTCTCCTGTGTTGGATATACTGTCACAGTTTCTTTGGTTAAATACCAGATGAAGTAATTGGCTTCTGTTCAGGCTGAAGGGGACCAGGGGACTTACCTCTCCCATCATATGCTCATGCCGGAGCTTGTTTTTTAAATGCATGGTTGGGGGGGGG